TAAAGACTCTTAACTCAAGCTGTATCAACTGACAGAATGAATCTCTATTATTCTTAGCTCAGAAAAGGCTCAGACTCAGCGCAGTATTTGAATAAGATCAGCTGATGGATGAAAACCGGCTAGCTCAGGGGTTCTCAAACTGGGGGTCGGGACCCATCAGGGGGTCACAAGGTTGTTACATGGGGGGTCGCGAGCTGTCAGCCTCCACCCCAAACCTTGCTTTGCCTCCTGCATTTATAATGGTTTTAAATATATAAAAAGGTGTTTTTAATTGATAAGGAGAGGGGCTTGCTGTGTGAAAGGGGTCACCGTACAAAACTTTGAGAACCACTGAGCTAGCTGAAGCTGAACCCCAGCAAGATAAAAGCTGGTGGGCAGAGAAAAGCATTTTCAAGAGTTTTCAGCCACAGTGCAGCTTTCTTTGGTTGAAAGTACATACTCACAACTGTCAATTCAGACAGTAGTTCAGGAGCATTCTTTGATTCCTAGCTTGTGCTAAGCTCTCAAATAGCAACATCCACAAGCAATGCCTTCCATCATATCCAGCTGGCCAGGAGACTCCACCCATCTTGGAGGACAATGACCTGGCCTCAGTTATTCATGTCTTTGTCATTTTACATCAATGCAATATACCTGGGCATGAAGCCTTCAGCTCTTAGGAAACTCCAATGCTACAGAATACTGCAGCACATCTCTTCAGCAACACAAAACTACCATAAGAGCACATTAGTCCTCTGCCTTCTAAATTTTCTGAAGGGCCAGTCTGTGTTTGTGCAATGAACAACCCCAGGAATCAAGGACCATCACAAACCTCATCACATTCCCCCCTAAGAGCAAGGCATATGTCTTTGACCATGCCTTCTCTAATATATATACATAGCAACAGGTATATTTAAATAAACAACAAAAAACTACCAAAACAAGATACTCCTCCACACATACTTCTCCCCCTATGGAGAGCATGAGAGAACAAACACATGACAGATATTAGTCAGTTTATTCTTAGGCACGCTGAATCATATCCAGATTGAAGCAATTGTCACATTTACAGAGAAAGTAACTATGCAGTTGGGCATATGTGAAACTCTAGCAGCAGAATTTACAACTCCGGAGAAACAATTCTGCAGCAGCAAGAACTTTACTTTTTAGTTATCAGATTTTTCTGTTAAATGTTCAAAACTGTTCTGTGCATTATTTGCTATCCACCTCAACAACACTATTTTCATATGGGATCTGTGCTTGTTTCGGCTTTGCTACTAGAATAAAATGCAATGTTAAGGTTGCACAAATGCAAATGGTAAGGCTTTGCTACTGCAATTGTGCAAGTTAGACATCATTTATTGTCTAAAATTTCACCACCTTGTTGGCATATGGGACACTGAAGCATCTTGTCAAACATATGATGCTAAATAATTTATACACTGCAATGGTTTATCATAAATCAAGTTCTGAAGAGCTCTTAGTCAAACCACCAGACTCCACAGCTTTAAAAAGAAGAAAATCTTATTTTAATAATGCAAGAACACAATCTTGATTTCACATAATGGGCCCGATGCACTCTGTTTATAGACTTTGTTTGAATTCATTTATTCCTGTTTTATTATAAGAAATAACAAATTAATCAGTCAGCAGATATTATGAAAAATAGGGGCTTTCTTCTTCCTTGCAGAGGCTGGGAGAATAGTGAGACAATTGGGAAGCCTCTTCTAAAGATTACAATTGCTTGCAGGTGGCAGTCTCTGAGCAGTACTTGTGCTACTGCCATTGGCGCTACCCTCTGTTCTGAGGGCCAACTGTGATTTCATGTTTTCCACAACCTTTCTGTATCTCTACAGCTTCATATCTCACAATACAACTCATCTTCTGGGACCTCACTTTTTAGCACAAGTGACTAATCTCAGGAAGCTGAAATATACAAATGAAAGTATGGAAAACTGTATGTGTAAAGCTATGACTCTGACATCATCACTTCAAATGTACTGTTCCAGCTATTTTTTGTTGAGCTGCATATTTCTGAACTTCATCCAGTATTTTCAAGACCAGTTTACAATCTTTGGGCCCCAGCAGGTTATGTGATACAGGGCTGACCATTTCACAGTAGTAGGAACCCAGAGGGAAGAATGTGCATCCAAGATCTGGAGAGTCTCCTATTCATTCATTTACAAAGGCCAGTGAAATTGCACAGATTTTATCACAAGCTCCAGCGACATGGGGCACATAGTTTTACCTGTACCTCAGACACAGGCAAAATTCAGATAAGTGAACTCAATCAAGATCATGAGTAAGGGGAAGACAAATACAGAACAAACAACATTGCTTCCTTGGAACAAAAGATATTTCATTATATTTTTAATTCATATTCATCACCCGATATGCATTGTCTGAGGTCAAGGCAGTAAGGGACTCAAATATTTGTTTAAAACCATAAGCAGCAGTGGTAGGAGTAGTAGTACCTAATATTTATATTATGGTAATGTCCAAAGGCCCTAATCTGGACTAGGGCTCAGCAGAGCTGTGTGCAGTACAGACGAGAGAGCATCCCTGCCTTGAAGGGCATATAGTGTAGTCCCTCAAAGAACATGATCAGGGTATGTACCACTGGCTTCCATGAATTCAGCATCCAGGCAGCAATCCTGCAGCTCCCAAGAAAGGCCAAAACAGAACCTACAACTAGCATAAAAATACATATTCCTGACAGCGAGTAGCCAGTGACTCCATTGGTGTACTGATTGCTCCTTTTGACTTCTCACATCTTGAACAAATTTGTACTGGATATCTCTGGGGGATAATTTCATGTGCTTGCTTAAGGCTAGGAACTGTTTATGGAGGGTGGCCCTTAATGCAGGATTCACTGTGCAGGAAATCTCTTTTGAGGGAATGTGTAAAATGCTTGAATAACTAAAGCTGAAAGAATACAATAAAACACAGCATTGAAGGGGGGAAGGGACAACTGACACATGGTGGAGTGTTGCTCTCAGTGTATCATCCGTGGCACTTAAGTATAGCTCACAAGAATGTCCCATATAATTCCACGCAGGGCCGGCTCTAGGCACCAGCGTTCCAAGCATGTGCTTGGGGTGGCACTTTTCAAGGGGTGGCATTCTGGCCCTTTGGGGACGGCACTCCATTTGGTTGTTGTTGTGGTGGTTTTGCTTCGGTGCCAGCACTCCGTTTTTTGTTGTTTTTTTTCGCTTGGGGCGGCAAAAAACCTGGAGCTGGCCCTGATTCCACAGCATTAACATATTTACCCATGAGCGGTTTAGGATCACACAAAAAAGCCAGAACTGTTGTCTAATTAGAAACAGATATCCCTCTGTTTATGCTGGTGTTTAAAAATTAAAATATATTATTGTTTCTGCTCATTCTAATTTGGGGTAAATATCTTCAGTTTTGCTGCTTATGAAGGATTAACTACATTGATCTGAGCTATTGCTAATTGAGACTGTTCTCATAAGGCAGGTGATGTGCAAGTGGCCCAAACGTAGCTTAGCAATGCAACTTCTACAGTATTCCAATTCTATAGGTCTGACCAGAGGGTGCTAATCATGCTGATTTTTGCCAAACTTATTTGATTTGTGGTGCTGACAAGTATCCAGTGGGAGCGACACTGAGATTATCAAACTCATTTTCACTTTTGACCCATACCCAATTTCAGCCTATTGTTGGTCTCCGGAGAGAAAAGGCTGGTTTGCTATGCCACTGTGCCATTGAATTCCCTAGCTAAACCTTAACTCTGCCACAGAACCATATGGTGCCAAAGCTGTTCTCAATTCACTGTCCAAAGGCTTCAGTTTCTAACGCTGATTATCCCTTACCATTCGCAACCAACAATATTCATTCAAAAACACACAAACAGAAAATAAGGCTGCACAGGCATACGAGAAAACTCCGATAGAGGACAAAGTGCAAGGCCACCTTCCCCCAGAGGAGAATGTGCTCATCGCTGTGCAAATGGCTGCACACAAAATTGGCACTAATTCACTTTGCACAGTATAATATCTGGAAATAATGCAAAGATGCTAATGGTGAATGCTAATTGGAAAATTTCATCTGACAAGCTGTTTTCTATATTACAGCTCTCCAAGTTCATGCACCCTGTAAAAAGTGAACTGGGATAGCTGACTGTCTTTTGCTGTTAAACTCAATGTGCTTTCTGCCAGCAACTTCAGAGAAGCAGTCCCTGCATAAAATGTACTACTATAGAATCCACTGCACTGTCAGAGCCTGGAGCTAGACCCCTTTAGCATAACCACTGCTCCTCACGAGTCATGACTCAATCTTTCCCTCTTCACTAGGACAATGGCAAGGAGCAGTGCGCAATTTAAAATACACCAATTATCCTCAGGACTAGAGATCTACATTTATTGCAGGGGTGGCCAACCTGTGGCTCCGGAACCACATACAGCTCTTCAGAAGTTAATATGTGGTTCCTTGTATAGGCACCGACTCCGGAGCTGGAGCTACAGATGCCAACTTTCCAATGTGCCGGGGGGGGGGGGTGCTCACTGCTCAAACCTGGCTCTGCCACAGGCCCTGCCCTCACTCCACCCCTTCCTGCCCCCTCCCCTGAGCCTGCCCTGCCCTCGCTCCTTCCCCACTCCTCCCCAGAGCCTCCTGCACACCACAAAAGAGCTGATCAGGAGGTGTGGGGAGGGAGGGGGAGGCGCTGATCGGTGGGGCTGCCAGTGGGCGGGAGGCACTGAGAACGGGGCAGGGAGCTGATGGGGGCGCTCCTTACATATTACTGTGGCTCTTTGGCAATGTACATTGGTAAATTCTGGCTCCTTCTCAGGCTCAGGTTGGCCACCCCTGGTTTATTGGTTCATTTGACTCATATGAAGTGAGAGAAATGAATTTAATAATTTATGAATGAATTTAGAATGATTTATGGATTAGGGTCTGAGAGCACTTCAACAGTAATACTTAGAGCTTGCCTGCTTGTTACCCATATCAATACAACGTTACTTGGAAATAAATTTAGTGAGTGTTCCTCTACATACCCGCTGTTTCTCAGGGTCGACATATCGAATGCCAAAATAGTCTTTTTCCAGTAAGCTGTAATAGTTGCAGATATGATCTATGAGAAACTGACCTTTGGTCTCCTTCTGGAAAAGAAAAAACAAATTAGTAACCTTATATTGTATTACTCTAAATACACTCAGCACACATTCCAAACCCATTATTTGTGAACTCTTAGAAGTCTAATAAAAAGAGTTAAAGAAGGTGGGAATAAGACCTTTTATTGCAATCAAGTGAGAACAAAAACAATGAATATCCACTTCCCCTGAAGAGATACAAAAAATAAAATGTATTCTAAAAATGCTATTGTATTCATCCCTGTGTCTTCACAAATTGCTACATCAGAACAAAGGGTGGCATTTCCTCAGGTATGCTCCTGATTACTTCTAAAATTGCACATTTAGTCTGTCCACTTAACCTTATGTCCACACCTTATCTATCCTTCTCTGCAGACATAAGCATTTTGCATAATGGCCATTTATTTAGCCACAGAATTTCAAACCATTCACGTGTTTTTTGCATTCATAAGACTTATGTGTTGGACCTGATTTTTCACTGCTAAGATCTGTTTGCAGAGGCACACCCACTCTGAGTGCATCACTACAGATGCACTCATTTGTTGTACCCACTCATATGTGCATGCAATTTATGGATTTGAGTGCTCACATAGATGAGGATAAATCAGGTGTAGAGATGCCCACGTACCTTGGGGCTGAAGATCAGATTCCTTACTATACACCAATACCCTAAAGACTTAGGGGGGAGGGATAGCTCTGTGGTTTGAGCATTGGCCTCCTAAACCTAGGGTTGTGAGTTCAGCCCTTGAGGGGACCACTTAGGGGTCTAGGGCAAAATCAGTACTTGGTCCTCCTAGTGAAGGCAGGGGGCTAGACTTGATGACCTTTCAGGGTCCCTTCTAGTTCTAGGAGCTAGAATGTCTCCATATATTAAAAATTATCAGAGATTTCTCATTTAAAAAAAAATAAAACCTAGCCACAGATAAACCACATGAGAATTTTCATCTCTAGTCAGACAACTGTGGAAGAAAGGCTTCCAAAAAATGGAGATGTATGAAATATCCCTGATATTAAAGGCAGAAGTAGTATTTATTGTATACTATACCTACCAATAGTTTAAAGCTACAAATACCAAAGGGATATTTGTGAATAAAGATATCAATATACTTTTTAACTCTACTGAGATACATAGGATTAGGATAGTTTTGTGGGTTTTTTAAAGTGACACGGCGGCAGGAAATGTTAAATAATTTACTTGAAAAATAAATATAATTGGTAGATATTCTGTACTTCTCATTGCTTCTCACAATGACCCTCAGTGAAAAGAACTCCCCACCTACTAAGAAAAACAGTGAAAGTCAGAGAGCCAGGGGATAAGAGCCTATGCTAAATGTCTAGCACAAAGTATTATTTGTCTTTCTTTGGACCTTTTTGTGGCTAGGGGATTCCTAGTGCCTCTACCCTCACAGCACAGGTTGTAGGGGGGACTTAACTGCCACATCCGCACAGATCATTTAGTCCAGTATCCCCTCTGATAATTGCCAATACCACAAAAAGAACAGGAGTACTTGTGGCACCTTAGAGACTAACAAATTTATTAGAGCATAAGCTTTCGTGGACTACAGCCCACTTCTTCGGATGCATAAGAAAGGGGGTGGAGGGCATGGAAAGCTATGCTCTTCTAAAATTTTTTTT